GTGGAGCATGGAGCGGGCGGGACAGTGGTGTGGTGTGATGTGGTGTGGTGTGGTGTGGTGTGGTGTGGTGTGGTGTGGTGTGGTGTGGTGGGCCTCACAGTTCGACGAGATTGGGCATGTCGGCAAAGACGTTGGGCACCTCGCCCGAGAGCTGGTTGCTGTGCAGCACCCTGCAGGGCCGCGAGGAGGGTAGGGGTGGGGAGGGGGGGGGGGCGGATGTTGGTAATCTAGTTCTGAGACGTCTCAATAGAAGACGTTGGGCACCTCGCCCGAGAGCTGGTTGCTGTGCAGCACCCTGCAGAGCCGACACGGGGATAGGGGGGTGTGGGAGGGGGCGGATGCGGATGGGATTTTCGAGACGTGTCAACAGAAGATGTGAGCTGGTGGTGTGCTCTACAGCGGCTTTCATGGCCGTGGTGGGCGGTGGGATGGGCGGATGGGAGGGGAGGGAGAGGAGGGAGAGGAGGGAGAGGAGGGAGAGGAGGGAGAGGAGGGAGAGGAGGGAGAGGAGGGAGAGGAGGGAGAGGAGGGATGAGCAGGAGGGCAGCATACACCAGGCGAGAAGCGAGGGCGTGGAGGGCCGTGAAGGGTGTAAGAGTAGCGCATGGAAGCGTGAGGGTGAGAGACGAGGAGAAGAGAGAGAGAGAGAGAGAGAGAGAGAGAGAGAGAGAGAGAGAGAGAGAGAGAGAGAGAGAGAGAGAGAGAGAGAGAGAGAGAGAGAGAGAGCAAGGCAGCCGAGAGAGCAGAGGAGGTTGACACGGATAGGCGGAGAGACGTAGCATTGGACGGAGCTGGACGGAAGGAAGGAAAGGAGATGCAGGAGAGAGAGGGCGAGGAAGGAAGGCGAAAGGAGGGAGGGAAGGGAAGGGAAGGGAAGGGGAGGGAAGGGGAGGGAAGGGGAGGGACGGCAAGGGGAGGGAAAAGGAGAGGCGGCGCACGCACAGTGTTTCGAGGCGCGTGAGAGCAGAGACGGCCTTGGGTAGCTTCCCTGTGAGACTGTTGTCTGCCAGCGACCTGGCGGGGCAAGGCAGCGGAGGGGAGGGGTACAGCGGAGTGCGGGAGGTGAGAGCGGAATGGGAGGGAGGAGGGGAGGAGGGAAAGAGAGGAAGGGAGAGGAACGGGCAGACTGGGTGAGGTCGGGAGGTGGCAGGTGGGCGGCGGTGAATGAGCGGAGCGGGGGAGGGGTGATCGAAAGGAAACGAGCAGGTGAGCGCAGGTGAGCGCAGGGGAGCGCAGGTGAGCGCAGGTGAGCGGAGGCGAGGCGGCATGGGTGGATCATGGACGCACAGGTACTGCAGCGTGGTGAGGTGGAAGAGGGCCTTGGGAATGCCGCCGCTCAGCCCCGCGGACGACAGATCCCTGTAACGCGTACACGGGGAGGGGGGTGGGGGAGGGAGAGAAAAAGCGTAAAGGGGGAGTTGAAAGAACAAGCGTACAAGTGGGGAGGCGGAGACACGCGCGCAGGGCGGAACACGTGAGGGAAAGAGAAGGGGGATAGGGAGAGGGAGAGGGAGAGGGAGAGAGAGAGAGAGAGAGAGAGAGAGAGAGAGAGAGAGAGAGAGAGAGAGAGAGAGAGAGAGAGAGAGAGAGAGAGAGAGAGAGAGAGAGAGAGAGAGAGAGAGAAAGGGGGAGAGAGGGAGAGAGAGAGAGAGAGAGAGAGAGAGAGAGAGAGAGAGAGAGAGAGAGAGAGAGAGAGAAAGGGGGAGAGAGGGAGAGAGAGAGAGAGAGAGAGAGAGAGAGAGAGAGAGAGAGAGAGAGAGAGAGAGAGGGGGAGGGGGGGGGGGGGGGGGGGGGTCGGGGGGGTGCATAAGCGGGACGCACAGTGACTGAACGGTGCCGTCGGTGTTGCACGAAAGTCCGCCGATCTCCCAGCACGGCAGCGACAGGTTCCACGTCAGCCCCCAGTGGTCGCGCACTTCCGCCAGCACCTCGGCTGCCGGACGCGCACGCGGGGGGAGGCGCGCGCGCGGAAAGGGGAAGCGGAATGGGGAAGATGGAAGGGGAGCGGGTGGGGAATTTACAAGTGGACAGGCTCGAAAAAAGGGACGGGGACACGAAGTGGGAGGGGGCGGGGCAAGCGGAGGCGGGGAAGGGGGAAGAAGAGGAGGGAAGAGGGGACTTTGGAGGGGCCTCGGAGTGGGCTGAGAGGGGAGAAGGGAAGTACGGAGAGGGGGGGAGGAGGGAGTTGGGGCAGCGAGACGGCAACAGCGAGACGGCAGCGAGACGGCGGCGAGACGGCAGCGAGACGGCGGCGAGACGGCAGCGAGACGGCGGCGCATACCTTGCTTCGAGTCCAGATGCGACAGCGACCCGTCTCCGCCTCCGCCGGGCGCCGCCTCGGATCCCGGAGCCGCAGTCGAGCCGTCTGCCACGAAATCCTTCTCCGGTCCTAGCATGTCCGACGACGACGCGCCGCTAGTGGCGTCGTCCGCTGCCGTCTCGCCGCCGGCCGACGGAGGCGCGGCGCTCGGCGGGGAAGCGATCGAGGGAGGGCTGTCGGACGGAGGGCTGGTTTCGGATGGAGGAGCGGAGATCGGGGGAGGGGGGGTGATTGACGGGGGAGCAGCAGCAGGAGGAGGAGATCCGTCAGACGGTAGCTCTTCGTTTCCCCGCGATGTTGAATCATCCTGAGGAGGCACCTGGCCGTCACCTGACCCATCTGGGAGCGGACCCCCATCTGGCCCCATTCCGCCCCTCCCCTTGCCCTTGTCCCATCCCCCCCCGCCTTTTCTACCCCCCTGCTTGGGACCCCCGGGGCCTTTTCCGCCTCTCCCGGGCCCGGCGGCCACTGGGAGCGAGAGATCAGGGAGAGTGGTAACAACGGCTAGGAGAGCAACGGTGGCGATTGGCGCGGTTTGAGGTATTTGGAACGGGGAGGTGTGGTAGGGGCGAGAATGTAGGAAGAGGAGGGAGAGGAAGGGGAGGAGGAGGATATTGAACGTCATGAGGCTGTGTATTGTATTGTGACGTTGTGACGACAAGATCGGTGGCTGCTGTGGTGATAGTGGAAGATGACTAGAGCTTCTGCTGGAGTGATTTATTCCGAACGTTCTGAAGCGGCTATAGCGAGGATGAACGCAGGCGAGGGAGGAGTTGAATGTGAGATGAACGGGCGCAGAGTTTAGTGAGGGGAGGCTATGACTACTAACAGCGAGTGAATCCGAGACGCGGTTCAGACAGTCTCTCCCTATCGTCTAGTGCTTCTCTCGTGCTTCTCTCGGTACCAAGGGATTCGCTTCGCTTCGCTCGCTTTCGTAACTGATTAGCATGCGCGCGGTGGGTTCTCGGACCTCGTCAGCCTGCTTCTACTGCGACCGCTTTTTGAGCTACGAGCGACGAACAATCAAATAGCTAAAAATAAGTTCGCTGGAGGCTCTGCTGCGCGCATGCACTGTTTTCAGAGTCCTCATAATACTGTACTGTGCTGTGTATCGGCGCTCTCGCTTGTTACTGGAATACTTTTGATCAAACAGGTCAGGTCTGGAGCTAGTACTGTACTGCTAGGTGGCGAATGCGTGCAAATGCAACAACGGAACGGACAAACACAAGAAGGCAACGGGTGGCTGTGTGCTTGTTGCTGTGGTTGGGGAGGGGATGCGTCGGATGGGAAACGAGGTCGCACAAACAACGGGAAGAGGGAGAAGGATTGGGTAGGGTAGGACTGGGTTATCCTGGCTTGGGGATGGTTGGGTAGGATATCTGGTGCCGGCTGTACTTCCAAAGGTGGATGGAATGGGTTGCTGATGGGGTGAGACGGCCAAGCCTGATGGGGTGAGAGGAAGAGGGAGAAAATGGGCACTGGGTTTGAGGAGAAGCCTAGCCTAGCCCGAGTGTAGGAAAATCGATGAGGGAATGAGGGCGGGCGGGCTAGAGTTGACTGTGGTGAGGTGATTCGTGCGTTATTGGCGGACAGTCGCAGCGCTGTGTGAAAATCGTAGGGGCTTGCCGGAGAGGACACACACACCAGCGATCGGTGGCGGAGAAGCCTCCTGGATGGCGAGTCTGATCATGTTAATTCGCAGGGAGGAATTTGGGGGACCATTGAGCAGCAGCACGGAAACCGAAAAAGGGGGGAAATACTGTTCATGTTGGAGTACATTAGTACATTTGTACAATAGCTGTGGATATAGGGCAGGAATCTAGTTTACCTCGTTGTTCTGTTCTTCCCTTCCCCCCCCACTCAACCAGCAAGTAGTGAACGGTTTCGATCCCTTCACACGCTGTCGGTGTTCCCATACCGCAGCTACAACGTGTGAGAAAAACTACTGAAAATGTATGGAAACCGGACCTTAGTCCCTTGTGCTCCAATTTCTTTTTTTCCGTTTTGGGGCAGTTGTGGAATGATACGTACAATATCCAGATCCTGCTGGAAAGCACACCACGCACTGGCTGGCCCTAGCCCTGTCACCAACCAAGACTTCCTGAAGAACCGAGCAGCGGAATTCACGAGAGCACCGCAGATGACGCGCGAAGCAGCCAGGACACCTGACCCACCACCTGCGAAAACCCTCGACACACCTGGAAGAAAACCTGGTTAACAAACCGCTGAATACGTTTTGCGGCCATCCGTTACTTTCATAACGCCTATCTCCCATCATGCATGCGTCCCTTGGTAGTTAATCTGGGGTGTATATGGGGGGGCGAATTTTTAAATGATATGGAATAAAACAGAACTCTCACACCTCTTGAAGCCAGTATCTCCAACCATGGCCAAGACCAGAAGTGAATCAACCTGGACAATTTTTGAAGGTAATTTCGATGTTGTTTCCATGTACCCATTACAGGCAACCAGTACATTTCACCATTTCTGACTGTATTCGCCAGCTTTAGTTACCCTCCTCCAGTGCCCACTGCATACTGATACTTGTGTGCTATACATAGTTTGCACCTACTCTCCGCACATGAGCCGATGCAGCAAAACTGGTTGGGCAGCACATACCATGTGTGCTAACCACGTATAACCTGCTGTGGTGAAAAGGGCAGCGCCACCCATGCTCTCCCTACTCTCCCCACCCTTCCACCTGAGTCACCATCATTCTCATCATCTCCCTCACTCTCTTCACCATCTCCTCCTTTTCTTTCTCCATCTCCCGCAGCTTTTGCTCCCCCTCAGCAATCACCTTATCCAGCTCCACACTTGCTCTCTCCTCCTGCCCCACCTCCCTCACCACCCTCACCTCCCTCTCCCTATACTCCTCCTGTATCCGCGCTGTAAGTTCCGCCTTCCCCCGAACCGCCGCCTCTGCTTCGGCCCGAGCCTTCGCCGCCCGAGCCTCCAGCTCCTCTGCTTCACAGACCTTCCTATCTGCATCCCTTTCCACCTCTTCCAACCGCCTCCTCTTCTCCTCCCGCACCTCCTGCACCTCCTTCCGCTTCCCCACAATAACATCCAGCCTCTCCCTCCTCTCCCTTCGCTTCTCCTCCAAATCCTGTCGCCTGCGCTCTAGCTTCCCAACTATAGCTCCCACCAGTGCCTCCTCCATACCCCCTTGAATCGCCCCTCCCACAAACTCCCTGCCTTCATTTTTCACCTTTCCATTCGCCATCCCTCTGTCCCCGCAAGCCCCCTCGCCTCCTGCCTTTCTCCACCTCTTCGCCTCCTCATGGCCTGCATCCCCCCCGTCCTCCGCATCTCTCTTCCGTTCACTGCCCTTCACTCCTCCCGTGCTCTCATCACCCAAATAGGATTCTCTGTCTTGCGCACCACCACTGCCACCTTGCTCCTTCTCCGCACCACCAGCAGCAGCAGCAGGATGGGAAGCTGTAGTTGGAGCAGTGGCGGCAGTGGCAGAATCTCTACCTGCGAAGGCACCGCCATTGGCTAAGGCAGCTCCTGTGGCACCTGAAAGCCCACCTGAAAGCCCACCTGCGCCACCTGAGCCTCTCAGAGCACCAGCACCTGCTTTGGCAGCAATACCACCACTGCCAGTCGCTGCCACTGCACCCTGTGCTGCTGGCTCCCCTGCCTGACTCCTACCCACACTGTCCACCACCCCCCTTCCCTCCCCACTCGCCCCTGAGCGGACAGTACCAGCAGCACCAGCACCAACAGCACGAGCAACAGCAGGGGCAGCTGCAGCAGCATGGTTACTGCTGTGCTGCTCACTCTGCTCCTTCTGCATGCCATTACCACCAGCGGCCACATTAGAACCTCGTCCCATTGTCTCCACTCCCCCGTTTCCCACCAGCCTCCCAGCACTGCCTCCTTCGTCCCTTTCCCCCCCTCGCCCTCCCTCAGGTGCTTTCCGCTTCCCACCTGGCCAGACCTTCGTTGCAACAGCACCATTACCAGCAGCGGCAGCACCAGCTGTAGCCATAGCAGCGGCGGCAGCACCAGCAGTACCACCACCAGCAGCAGCAGCAGCAGCAGCAGGAACCGCAGCAGAAGCAGCAGCGGCAGCAGAGCTCGTGGTATAAGAAGCCGCAAGACTGGAGCCCGCATTCACAGGAACAGGAGGCAAAGGGGGTAGCCTCGACGATCTACTGCCTTGTAGGGTCGGAGAGGAGGTGGGTCTGTGGGACTGATTTAACCCAGGTGAGGGTGTGCGTGAGAGATGAGGCATGGGGGAGGAGCGGAGATGGAGATGAGAGGGATGATTAGCTGAGCTGCTTGCTGTAGCAGTACCAGTACCCGCAGCAGTGACAGCAGCAGTAGGAGAAGCAGCAGCAGCAGCAGCAGCTGTGGCAGAAGTGGTGGCAGAGAGTGGGATAGATGAAGCAGCTGAACCAGCAGCAGGTGCAGGAGCGGTTGAGGGGGGTGCTGAGGGAAGAGGGGGAACTTGACGAGAGTAGAGATTATGGTGAGACGCGAGCAGAGAGGGCGGGAGGGCAGGGAAGGAGTCTCCTCCTGTTGCTGCTTTCTTCAGCGTTGGAGGGAGGGGAATCTGAGCGCCGTTGTATATGTTCTGAACAGGTGGATGGATGGATGGAAAGCGCACAGAGAAAGATGCAGAGAGAGAGAGGATGAGTGGAATGACATAAAACTACAGGGGCAAGGAAAGTGGAAAGAGAGGCACCTGAACTCAAGCAGGCAAAGAGGGAAGAGCGGCAAGGGAGGGACACAACACAGCACACCAGTTCGCAACAATGGTGCTCCCATGACATAATCGCACTTGCACACCCACACATGCCATTCATCGCACTCCCATTGCATGTGCACATCCACCCAAAGAAACTCAAACCAGGTCTCCCCATACCCTGAACTCTGGCAATGGTGGTTGAACAATCCCTGCAATGGCCGACACTCCTCCTCCCCCCAGGCTCCCCACACTGCCCGCGCCCACCCCCCCCATACTCCCCACACTCCCCCCTCCCCTGGGCCCTATTCCCCCAGGCCCCGCTCTACTCCCTCCTCCAGCACTTCCGCTGCTTCCCATCCCTCCCCCTGCCCCTGCTGGAGTTGTAGCTCCTTTCAGGTGCTTCGAGTCTTTCCTTTCTCCAGCCGTCACAGCAGCCTTATTCCACGACGCTCCACCTGCCCCTCCGCACCTGTTTCCCCTGCCCACCCCCCCTCCTCCTGCTCCTCCTGCTCCTCCTGCTCCTCCTGCTCCTCCTGCTCCTCCTGCTCCTCCTGCTCCTGTTATCCCATATGCTCCAATCTCAGGCTCCCCTAACAGTCCCAGCTTCTCTGCTATTGTAACCCTCCCCCCTCCCCCCCCCGCCCCTTCCCCCTCCTACTTTTCCTCCCCCTCGTCCCCCTGCTGCCACTGTGTCCCCTGCCATTGCTGCCGCTCCTGCTGCTCCAGTCCCTCCTGCTGCTCCTGATCCTGCTGCTACTGTCACTCCTGTCACTCCTACCACTCCCGCCCCTCCCGACCCACCTGTGCCCCTCTCTTCAGGCACAGACACTACAGTCACACACTGGGCTGCTAGAGCCAACCCAAGGGCCGAAGCCGAAACCCTCTCCTCTGTGACTATACCAGGGGGGAAGGGCAGGCACAGGCCAGGTGGCAGAAGCGGATTGGCTCCTGAAGGCAGGCCTTCTGACACTACCGAGACTGCAGGGAACGAGTGGTTACCTTGCTGCTGACTCGATACCCCATGAGAACTACTACCCAGGTCGTTATTCGAGCGAAATACGAGATTCGCGTTCGACCCAGGGGTATTGGGATTGGGTTTATTGTACTGCGGCGCGCTCGCCGCAAGAGCGGCGGCGGCAGGGGAATAAGCAGTGGGATTATTACAGCTGCCAGGTGTCGCGAAGGGAGGGCTGGGGCTGCGAGCATACACGGCCGAGCTGGTTGGAAGAAGGGTAAGCGGGGAACAGGAAAGGGCGATAGAGAGGGCGTTAGAGGAGGCGGAGGCACTGGTAGGGTTCTTCTGGGTGTTGTATAGAGTGTATGAGGCCTTCAGAGCGGCGTTTGGCGGGCCGGTGTGAGTGGGCGGGCCGGTATGAGTGGGCGGGCCGGTATGAGTGGGCGGGCGAGGAGCAGCAGTGGGGGAGAGTGGAGATGAGTTGGAAGCTGAAAAGGTTCCAGAGGAAGCTGGTGCTTGCCCGGATGCCCTGTGCTCACCCCCCCCACTGCCCACACTGTGCTGTTGGCCTGATAAGACACCGCCACCAGCAGAACCAGAGGAAGGTTTGCTAAACTGCTGCTGCTGCTGCCGCTGCTGTTCCTGCTGCTGTTGCATCTGCTGGTGAGCAGTAACGGACAACGCATTGCCACCAGCACCACACACACCACCAGTATTAACAGTCACAGCACCAGTACTTGGCACCACAGACACACTATCATTCCCCCCTCTGCCCCTGCCGGTCCCTAGGAGGGTTGTAGTTCCTGGGCCGAGCTGGTTCCCCTGCAATGCTGCTACGCCTGAACCCTGCTGCACTGATGCCTGTGACTTTCCAGGCGCCTCAATGCCCCCCTGTAATGCTACCCCTGGGCCCTGCTGTGCTGATGCCTGCGCGTGAGCAGTGTGCGTTGAGGGGGAGGAGTTACGCGGCGGAACTGGACCAGTGGCAGGTGTGGTGGCAGGCACGGTACGAGGGCTGGTCGCAGGTATGGTAGCAGGCACGGTAGCAGGTACGGTAGGAGGGCTGGTAGAAGGGTCGATCTGCATGGGGCTCGGTGACCCGGATTGGGGAGGAGCAGGAGGAGCAGGAGGAGGGGGAGGCTGTCCAGGGGATGTGGGGTGTGTGGAATGCGAGGAAGGAGGAACGTTAGCAGGGAGGAGGGCGCGGGGCGTATGGGGATGGGGAAGAGGAGGAGGCGGAGTGGAGTGGAGGGGGGGAGGGGGGAAGGAGAGGGTGCTTCTGCCTGCAGCAAGCATGGTTGCCCCGTGCCTGCGCTCTGATCGTGGAGGAGGGAGCACAGAAGAACAAGCGGGATCCATTAGTCGATCTTTTTAGACATCTCAAAAGTAGTCTGCCTGCAGCCAGCATGGTTGCCACGTGCCTGCGCTCTGATCGTGGGGGAGGGAGTACAGAACAACAGGTGGCATCCGTTAGTCAGCCTCTAGCCAATAGCCAGTAGTATGAATCAAATGATGTATTGTTCTTCGAGTCACCTCAAAAAAGCACATGCCTGGTGCTCTGATGCAATCTGATACATGGGAGGGGGATTCAAACGGGGATATAGAGGGGTTGGTTAAGAAGGGCGGGGAAGGAATTATGGAGCCTTTACTCTGCTGTACCCTTCCTCCCACAACCAGAAGCCCCCTTTTCCCCCCAACAAACCCTTCTCTCCGCCCGCCCTCACCTTGCACGCCGAAACACGCTCGAAGCTCCCCCACCACCTTGTTCACCCCCTCATTACTCTGCATCACCGCAGTCAACCGCTCCTGCAGCCGCCGGTATGGCTCGCACCACTCAGCACCGCGTGTAACCCTCACCACACGCGCCATCTCCTCGCTCAGCTTCCCCATGTCCTTCTTCTTCACCCCTGCACTCGTCGTCAGCATCTCTCTAAACAGGTCCCACATTGCGCTAGTGTAACCACACAGGGGGCACACGTATTGCATGCAATCTGGCACGCGCGCACCCGTTCCCCCACCCCCTGCAAACGCCCGCTTCCCTGCAGGGGCGGTGTTACCCTTCCCCCCGCTTTCCGGACTCCCCAGCGCGTTCGCGCCTGCCCCTGCGCCCATCCGTGCTCCTGCACCCACCAATGCACCCGCCCCTGCGCCCGCCCCTGTCCCAGCACCTGACCCTGCCCCTACACCTGCGCCTGCACTAGGAGGGGACGCGGGGCTTCCCCCTTCCACTCCGCCAGCGGCGTACGCGTTGGGAACGGCGTCACTGTCCGCACGGCTGGCGCTGCCGCTGGGTGAAGGGGGCGGAAGTGGACTGGGCGGTGCTGGGCTGGGCGGAGGTGGAATGGGCGGAGTTTGGTTGGGTGGAGAGGGGTTGGGTGGAGATGGGTTGGGTGGAGATGGTTTAGGCGGAGGTGAGTTCAGCAATCCTATTGCCCCTAAAGGCCCTGCTGCATCCGGTTCTGCCTTAACCTTGGCCTTAATCCCCTCAATCACACCACTCTCCACCTTAACACGCTTCCCTCCTCCATTACTCTCACTCCCCTTACGCGCATCCCTGTCTTGATCACTACCCGAAGCAGCACCCGCACCCGCACGTGCACCAGTATCCTTCTCCTCCTCCCTTCCCCTTTTCGACCCCTCAACAGCTGCTGCACCCTCACCAGTAACAACGGAAGCTGTATCTCCAGTCGTCGACGCTGCCTTCTCCGGGACTGCCGCTCCTTCCGTTCCTCCCCTTCCTCCCTCTCCCACCGCTCCGCCCTTTCCTCCCGCTCCTACAGCCGCTACCGTTTCTGGGGGCCCCGTGAGCGCACTTTCCGCCTCCTTTTCCGTCAGAACCCGCACCAATCCGCGCTCCAACGCGCCGTCCGTATGCACGTAACAGCCGCACTTGGGCGACGGGCACTGGAGCCACCGCCCCGTCTTAGTCTTATTTCGAAACCTGTCTATAACGAGGTCCTCGTCGAATTTCTTGCACAGCGCGCACATGCACGCTCTACAGTACCCGTCTCCGCCTAGCGGGCAGCAGCAGTGCAGGCATCGGTCCCCTAATAAGATCTCTACTAGGTCGCCAATAGTGCGCTTCGAGTTCTTCTGCAGGTATAGCGTCCTTAGGGAGTACCGAATGGCGATTAATATCTCGAGGTAATTCGCGAAGCTGTCTCTAAGAGCCTTCCTCTGCGAAGCTAAGTGTACTTCTAGATCCGCCTGTAGCTTCAACACTCTATCGCATATGGGGGATACGAATCCGTTCGACCCGCCCTTTCCAGCCTTCTCCTTATTCGCGACTATCACACACGTGAGACACCCGCGCCCGCCGTAAATCCCGCCTAAGCTACTACTCCCGCCTCCCACCCTCCCGTTGCCCCCACCCGCGCCGCCGCTACCATCCATGAGTGCTCGAAACTCCTCCTTCAACCTCAGCATCGTCTCGTCCTGCCCTGCGCGTTTCATGCGCTCCTTAATCGCGCGCACGTCGCCGCGAACTAGATCCTCTAGCTCAAACGGCTTTACTGGCTCCGGCGGGGGCGGCGGCGGTTTATTGGGCGGTGGCGACGGGGCGGACTTTGCCGCGGATGCGCCTGCGTTCTTCGCGGACGAGGATGACGGCTCTGTTTTAGACGCGGCAGCTGCTGCTCCGGATTTAGGTGCTGCTGCTCCTGTTTTGGTCGCTGCTGCTCCTGTTTTAGTCGCTACTGCTCCTGCCTTAGGCGCTGATGCTGCTGCCTTAGGCGCTGCTGCTGCTGCTGCTACTGCTGAACCCTCTGCCACTCTCGGTTTCACCTCCGTTGCAATCATCGCGACTGCACCTGACCTCCCATCACCAGTCACCTTTACCGCGCCAGTCGACTGAACCCCCCTAGCTGTGTTTGCAGTTGAAGGCTTTGCGTCAGTCATCTGAGAAACCCCTCCGGACTTCCCCCCACTCGCTGGCGCGGCTGGGACTACTGCTGCTGCATTCCCACACGCTGTGCGCGCAGGAGCAGGCGCAGCTACAGGCACCGACACCGGCGCAGGCGTAGGTGCAGCCTTAGCCGCAGGTGCAGGCGCAGGTGCAGGCGGAGCAGCGGCAGGGCGGGAAGATGCGGGCGGCATCGCTTCCCCTCCACCTTTCAGCACCTCATGCGCTAGCAGTTCCGACACGGTACGAGGCACGGGGGGCAGCGCGGAAGCAAGCGCGGGGGTGGGGGTGGGGGCGGGGGCGGGGACGGCGGGAGAGGGGGCGGGGGAGGCCTGCCGTGGCGGAGCGGTTATCCGCACCATTGCCCCGGCTGTGGGACGCGGGATCGAGCCTGATTGCGCGGATGACGGCGAGGCAGGGGGAGTTGGCGCAGCGCCGGCGGGTTTTTGCGCTGCCCGAGATCGGTCAGCTAGAGGTGCAGCAGGGGGAGCTGCGGGGGATGGTGTGGGAAGTCCCACGGGGGCTGGCGCGTAGGGTGCTGCGGGGGAAGGTCCTTGGGACATTGGGGTAGGGGCAGCGGGAGACGTTTTAGTGGGCGCTGGGGAAGGTGGCGGCACAGAGGGCACCGCTGATTGCGTAGCTAACAATATCGGCGCAGCTGCGGGCTTCGCGGCGGTGGGTTGAAGCGCGGCAGGGGGCCCCGCCGCGGGAGAGGGTGCGCGCGGTACTCCCGGGGCTGGCGCGGAGGGAGTTGCTTGCGGAACAGCGAGTGCTGCAGCTTGCAACGGCTTCCCGGGCGCCGCAGATGCGGGTAAGGGCGCAACTCCATGTGCTGATGCTGGGGATCCATCAGTCGCTGATCGCGCCGTCGTTGCTAGTGGGGGCCGGGTGGTGGCGCCAACGGCAGGCGGGGGCGCGGCTGCGCGAGGTGGTGCAGTGGCGGGCACTTGGGGAGCAGTTGCGGGTGATTGAGTAGAAGAGGGCGGTGGTGGTTTTGCGGCTGGTGGTGCTGCTCCTGGTGCCGCTGCTGCTGGCCCCACTGCTGCTAATGTCACTGCTGCTGATGCTGCTGCTGGTGCCGCACCAGCCGCACCCGCAGAACCAGAGGCTTCAGCTGCAGTTGCTGCTGCGACTGCGGGCGCTGGGGTGACAGCACCAGATGATCCTGTAGCAGTTGATGCTGTAGCGACTGCTGTTGAGGCTACGACTGCGCGGGACGGCGCGGGGGAGACTGACGCTGCGACAGTTGCCGATGATGGTAATGCTTTTGGAGCCCCTGCGGATGCTGGTGGTGATGCAGCAGGTGGTGTTGCAGTTGGAGCTGAAGAGGAAGAAGCTGTGGATGAAGGTAACCCGCCTTTGGGTGTTGCAGCGGCTGCTGGTGTCGCAGCGGCTGCTTGTGTCGCAACGGCTCTAGGTGCTGATACAACCGCTGGTGTTTCAGTGACCGGTGGTTTTGCGATTGGGGGAGGCAGCTTAGGCACGACTGATTTTGGCGCCGCGGGCGGAGGCGGAAGCGCGGTGGAGGGCGCAGCCGGATCTGTCGCAGGCGTGGAGGCGGGAAGCGGTGACGAGGCTGATGCCTGTGCAGAGATCGACGGTGCACCTGCCGCGATTGGTGCAGTCGTTTGCAGCGCGGGTTGCGCGGGATCAACGGAGACAACTGAGGTAGGAGATTGGGCTGCAACCGAAGACCCGCCAGACTCCTTCGCGCTGGCAGCAGCAGAGGTCAACTTCTTGGCTGATGAACCATCATCCATCGCATCGAGATAAGTAAGGAGAAACAGCAACAGTTCGGATTCGTTCGAGAAGAAAGTCTTCTAGTAAACGATGAGTCCGGGACGCATGTGAACTTTTCTAGCGTTCGATTCTGAGATAGTGACTGGATCTGCACTCACAACGTACAGCTTTGCTAGATGATCAAGCGTTACCTGCCTGGGATAAGACTAGCCGGTCAGAGCTGACCTACAGTCATCATCCGACTTCCTAAACTCCAACCCGCTTTGCTAGATGATCAAGCATTACCTGCCTGGGATAAGACTAGCCAGTCAGAGCTGACCTACAGTCATCATCCGACTTCCTAAACTCCAACCCCTTTCCCTCTCTCGGCCGCTTTGCAGCTCCACCGAGAGAATCCAGGCCGAACGCGACCATCTTAGCCGTTCGTCATTCATCAAGATCTTCAAATCCACGGCCTCACTGTCTCAGTTGCAGAAGCTCTTGAGGATGCTGGCTTGGACCGACACACTGAGGACGCGGAAAAAGCAGACGATCGATCGTGAACTGCGACTGATGTGCGGACCAGTTACCCTGTTTACAGAACTATAACCATGCTACAGTTTGATTTTATCGACATATTGTGCACAGGTGGTGAATGCGAATGATCACTGATCGGTGTTCAGCTTTCCGTGGCATTACTCTGCAGATGATGTTCATGAACCAATCGCAACAAGCGCGTTCGATGTTGATGCCAGCGAAGAGCTGAAATTTCGCAAAGCGGGTGATTGGAGTCGCGCATCATTCCTGCAATGTGGGCAGTGGGCTGCGAAATTCACTTGTGGTTGCCCTGCGAGCTGCGAAATGTTGCAGATGCTGTAGGGCGGTCTGGGGTTTCCTTCGACGGTGACGCTGGGCCGATCGTTACAACGAAGCGGGCCCCTCGCTTCGCCAATCGACCCACCCAATCAATTCTGGGGCTCAAAAAACAATCGCGATCCTGCGATCCTCCCACTCTTACCGCGTCCTGAGGAGGTTCCCGAATCCCGAGGTTCCAACAGCTTTGGGTCCGCCGCGACACTAGCAGGCGAGGCGCGCCAGTTTGGGCAGGTCGATGCCGAACCTGGAGATCCCAGACCTAGAGGCTACTGGTTCGTGGGAAGCATGACTACACGATCGAGTTTGAGTTTTCGACCGGCAAACATTATAAACTCTATTAGGATTTTCGTAAATGAGGATCTCAATTTCCACTCTACTAGAATATCAGGCAGAACATTCTCATCCCTCTGAAATTGCAGTTTTCACTCTACTCTCCCTCTAAAATACCTTCGATTCCCCCCTTACTTTCTGGATCAGCAATATCTAGACTAGAGAAATGCCCAAGGACAGTGCATCCCCCTGACTCACCCCCCTATGATAGCGCGATGGCCACCTTGGCCCAAACTTCCCGCCCTCTAGGCTACGAGGCTAGTCAAACCCTAAGCCACCTAGGCAGGTTTCTCCTACACGACTCAGCCTCGTTTACAGGTAAGTTTCTGCTATCGTTTTTCTCCAACACTTCCCACTACACTTCCCCCCGTTGCACCTTGCGCTCATCGTATCCTTCAGTTCCATCCCCTGCGCCATCGAACCCCCACTTCTCATCCTCCTCTTTCGTGCGCCCATCAAATCTCACTCCCTCCCCCTATCTTCGGCCCTTACCCCCTCAGAAAGTTCGTTTATGTCTCTGCCCAACCCCTGCCAACAGATCGGCCACCTCCCGCCAAGCTGTCTCGTGTTTCAGTGAACACCAAGGACTCCCTCGACAAACCCCAGTCGCCGCACACAGCTAACCCTCAAATTTCTCCCGTTTTTCTGCTCGCCTTCTTTCCTGCCATTGTCCCGCCGATTTCCCCTGCGCCCCACCTCCTCCTTCCGTTTTTTCATGCCTTAACAAACGCCAGCACTCACGGACTTCCTGCCTCCCTTGGCAACCTTGCTGCATATGCTCCGTTTTTTACTCACTTGCTGCCTCCGGCAAAGCCCTTCACATGGCTCGAAAACTCGGCGCGCCCCCTAGGCCGCCAGTTTATTTCGCGCGCGAGCGCTCGGACCCTCGAACGGTCCCGGGTTTCGGGCTGCCAACTAGGCGCCCAATCCCGCAGCTGACCCTTAATTCCTTCGCCACGTCGCCTCATTTTCCGCAGCCGTCACGCTGCCCCAGCCTCTCTCGGTACTTCCCCTCCCAACTGCCCTCTCCCAACCCCCCCCCAACGTGCCCCCTTCAGAGCCTTGCCCCCAAGGCCTCACATTCGCTCGCTTCCGCCGCGTCCATGCTCCCCCTACGCCCAATCGTCCCCTCACGGGCTTTCTCTCGCTCTTGACCTACTTAACTCACCCAAATCTTTGCGAGTCACTCATTACTTGCCTCCCAACCTCAAACGGTCCCCCCTCCCACTTTGCATTAGGTCTAAGCAGGCCTTCAATACCGATCTCACCATGACCGCAACCGAAGAGGAAGCTCTCGCCGAGTCCGGTGAGGACCTCTTGGTGGAGGACCTCCCCGAAGGGCTAATCGACGAACTCAAGTGCTCCCCCGACCATCCTGCGGCGAAAAAGGCTTGCATGGACGCTGGCGCAGGCCATACCAGCATTAACTCCCCCGCCACCTCCTCTGATTCGGCCCTGGCGCAGCCCCCGCGGTCTCCCATGCCCCTCGCTGCCGCTGCTCCCGCGTCGCCCTCGAGCAGCCCCATGCTCACGCCGGCAGCAACTGCTGCCTCCCCCAACGCCCCGGCCCTCCACGCCGCTGCCTACGCTTCAGTCGTCGCTGGCGTCTGTTAACGGGAATGAAGTGTTGGCCCCGCCCTCGCTTGGGCAACGCCGACAACTTGGTCGGATGTACGGAAGTAGCAGCCGACTGCTCACAGTGGGATAGCTGCTCGACAGGTTACGTCGAGCTGCAGCGGACCACTGTGGTGTTGCTGTCGACCAGGATGCTCGACAGCTGCACCTGACTGGCCTGGGCGACGGGTGAGCCGTCCGGGAGGTCGACGAAGCAGTCCGTCGACCTACAGTTCGACGGGGAGGTCTATGGAGCATCCCGTCGAATTGCAGCTCGACCGGGAGGTCAACGGAGCGTCCCGTCGAATTGCAGCTCGACCGGGAGGACAACGGAGCATCCCGTCGAGCTGCAGTTCGACCGGGAGGTCGACAGAGCAGTTTCGGTCGACGGAAGGGGTCCGTCGACCAAGGGGTAGCTTGACGGGAGGTGTGGTCGACCAGGAGCGCCCGGTGGTCGACCAGAGGGACCCAGTGGTCGACGGGAGGCACCTGGGAGTCGACCAGAGCACCAGGGGTCGACCAGGTCGACCGGGTAACATGCTCGACGAGTTCTGCGGAGGCACGCGAACGTCGTCGAGATCGCGATGGCGCAGGCGACTTCGGGCTGGTATCCCGAAGTCGATGTGGCTCGTCAGGCGCAGACAAACAGCCGACGGATGCCCAACGAGGCAAGTCGGGCCAATCGTCTGCGCACACCTGTGAGCGCGCGCACTGCTGTGTTCTACGGGGCACGCCGTCGACCTGCTTTGTTGGCAGGTCGCCCTTCTGCAGTGCTGGCGCGGCTCCTCTACGCAATGCTGGCAGGCGGTTGACCGAGCTGCGCTGGCGGTCGACCAGGCTGGCTGCAGGGTTGCTAGGTGCCTGATGTAGTCATTGTTGTGATTGCTTCTTGATTATTCTGGAATTCCAACTTTGCTAGTGAAAACTCTTGCCAAATTCTTCCGTGAATGTGCAAACACTAAGGAACTAAGCAAAGCTAAGATCACCTCTAGTAGTTCGTGCCAACCCCTGTAGTCTAGCTCACTACCGTTGTAGAGTTAATCTCCACATGGTGCGGTGAGCGTGGATCGAACACGCGACCTTCAGATAGGAGCCGACTTTTGCACCTACTAAGTCGTTCGTAGGCCGGCAGCAGCGATAGTCGCCATGGTTGACCCCGTAGTTGATACGGGTGTAGCGGACACTTTGGAGGCACGTTTGGCTGACGCGAGGAGACGCCACGCGAATGGCGAGTACGGGACGATCCCCTTAGTGATCGCCGAGTTGGGCATCCGGTCGCAGTGGGCGACGGAACACCCTTCGCGTCCTGCTTCTCCTCGACCGGTGCGCAACGAAGGTGGCGTCGACGACGAGGTCGACGGTGGTGCACGAGTCAGCGGCAGTGAAGGCACAAGGCATAGAGGAGTGATCAAGGTCGACGGTGGTGTCGACGGAATCCAGGCGCGAGTGCAGCGGTCGACGGCGGCTGCAGGCAGCTCGCACGCCGACGTCGATGTTCGACGTCGCTCTCCTCTACGAAGTGGTGGCGGGCTCTCGGCGACGACGCATGTGACTGCGGGCAGGATTGCACCGGCGTATGGCTACTTCAAGTTTTCGCCGGATCGGATCACCGTCGCTCCGCTGCAAGGTCGACGGGACCTCATCACCTGGAGGGAGTCGATCGAACCTCAGCTGGAGGTCGCCGGGCTGAAGGGCTTCGCCGACAGCACTGTGCCAATTCCGCCCGAGGAGGATGTCGGGCTGCGCGGGGAGTTTCGTTCTGCTCACCTGCTCACCTTCATGGTCATCTTGAGGTGCTGCTCGCCGGTGGTACAGCTGGCGCTCAGGAGCTGTCGAGAGCGACTGGATGCTGGTCACCAGGCATGGCGCTTCATCATATCGACGTACCAGGTCAGGGACGACCTGTACATCGGGCAGCTGGAGGAGAAGATGACTCACATTCGGATGGGCGAGCAGGAGTCGGCGACGGAATACTGCAACCGTGCTCGACGGATCCTGGCTGAGATGCGAATGGCGGGCGCCGAATACTCGACGGCGTCCTACATCACCCACATCGTCAAGGGCTTGCCGCGCAGCTACAATCTCATGAAGAGGATGATGATGATGCCTGGCACGCGTGAGTCCCTCGACGAAGACTCCATCACCAGCTACATTCTCCAGGATGAGGCGATGCAGGAGGCAGAGCAGCCCACGGAGTTCCTTCCGCAGGCGAGTTACGCTGCACCGACGAAGCC